CTTCTGGACGGGTTCTTCTCTAATGAAACGTTTCGTCTCTCCTCCAGAGTTTCAGGCAAAATTCGAAAATGTTATGATTTTATTCTTATAATACTTTATTTTCGTAACTTGTAGTTGCATTTTCTTTTATTTAACATCTTATTGCAGCATAAATTTCATCAGCTAAGTTGCTAAACTTATTTTTAAAAAACAAATCCTTCGGTCCGTGGTGAATTTCCAAACTGCGCCGAAACGTTAAAAAATAAAAACACCACCGTCTTCATTTCTCAGTTTATTTTGCTGCCCGCGCATTGAATCCTGGGATATCCTCGGCTGGTAAGGATACATGGACGCATCCTCAGATTTCGACAGGAAGTAGGACGCATTCCTCGGCCGCGGGATGAGGAGCCTTCGAATTGGGACAGTCCTCCGGGCGAGGCAAAGATGTATGCGGCCGACAAATGCGCACACATGAGGACCCAGCCCCTGAATTGAGACACAGCCATTATGTCACTGATTTTAAGTAAAAAAGAAAAAAAAAAAAAGCTCCAACAGCTCTGAGTGCTCCGGCAGAGCACACAACAATAGGAAAGTCATCACAAGTTTTCTCAGCAGGGTGGTTGGGCTCTCCCTTAGAGATTGGGAGAGAAGTTCAGTTAGGAGGGACTTGGAGTAGAGCCACTGCTCCTCCACATCGAGAGGAACCAGCTGAGGTGGTTCAGGCATCTGGTAAAGATGCCACCTGGACGCCTCCCTGGGGGATCTTGAGAAGACCCAGGACACGCTAGAGAAACTAAGTCTGTTGGCTAGCATGGAAACGCCTTTGAATCCACCCAGAAGAGTTGGAAGAGTTGGATGAGGCAGGAGATGTCTGGGCCTCCCTGCTCAAGCTGTCCCCCCCATAAACCGACACCGAAACAAGCAGCAGATAACTGAGCTGTGCAAAAGTGCAGATGCAAGCACTGTGCAGCTGATCAAAGTGCAGCAGGAGAACTTTAAAAAAGAAAACAATGTGACCAAGTCTTACAGCACTCAGGTTTATAGGGTGGTTCTCTTTAAAAGACAAGAAAACTGACAAGATCAGCAAATGACTAGGTCAAATCTTCAGTGTATAACTGTTTAACCTGATAAATGACAGCATTTGCACCATAAAAGACGATGCAAATAATCTACCCATATTAAGCTTTCAATAAAAAAAGTGAAATATTCTATATCAGAGCTGGGATGATGTAATCTACAAAGAACAAAAGGAGGCAAAACTTCACTTTTACTGGACTTAAGAGAAAACCATTGTTTTACACCAGTACGAACGGTTTTTGACTTATTTATTTTAAAAAATAGTTAAGGTCAAATGTGATCAATCTTTTTTTTTTTTTTTTGAGGTTTAGATCCTAAGCTAACACATAAATTCACCTGACACCAAATCAGTGTTTTGTTTCATGTCAACTAGGACGTTTCCCCATTTTCATCCAGCCATAAAAGTTATATTGTTGTAAACATCAAATAACAGCTTACTTTATTAATTAATAAAGCAATAATTCTGTACAGCAGTCAAGCTAATCTTTTCCAAAGAGCTATTTTGGCGACTTTTTACGCTCAATTTGAACTTTAACTTTTGACTTTGTTTAATGCTAACTTTAGCTGCTAAACCTGCTGAACATGATGTACACGCGACTAGCAAACACCTTGTTTACAGAAACCCGACTGTCTTTACATAACAATGACCACTTTTAAGACTGCTTTTTTGCTTAATGAAACACTAGTTTAATAATTTAAGAAGTACTCAAGGCGACCGCTTGCTTTTGATCCTCTCAACTAACCACAACAAGAAAGAAACGAAGGCTTTCACAAACACGAAACGGTCCAAAAACGACGAAGCAGCTACAGCTGAACACAAACGTCTACGAGCAACAACTTTTTGGTCAGAGACAAAAGCCGTAAAACGGATTGTTTGTCACCTTTTAGCGGTGCGGTGTTTGGAGCCATTTTTCCTGCAGCTGCATTTTTCCATCCACTTGCACAGTGGAGACGTCAGTTCCTGTTGAGGTGGTTGGCGGCGGAGTTTTGGAGAAACGGTTTGTATGGCCGCGTTTCTGATGACGGTCAAACAGCGCCCCCGCGTGGACGACTCGCGCAAGTGTCGAAACTACACCAACAATTAAACGTGATTATCAAACATTTTTCATAAGGTTAAAACAAAAACGTTTAGTTTAGTTTAGTTTAGTTTAGTTTAGTTTAGTTTAGTTTAGTTTAGTTTAGTTTAGTTTAGTTTAGTTTAGTTTAGTTTAGTCTCTGTTTATCTATCTTGTCAGCAAAATATCACATGAACCAGTGAACAAATATTAATAAAACTCAAAAAGTAACAACAGAATGTACTAATGATTAACACGTTCAACAACATTCAAGATGGTGGCCGCATTAAACAACTTCAAATGGCTATAACTTACCAAATTTAAAAAAAGTTGAGTTAAAATGTGTTGTTTTAATAGATTAAAGTGATTTGAAACAGATAATCTAAACAACATTGCTGAAGATCTGTTTTTAAAACTTTGCCAATAACTTTTGAGAAAATAACTGGGCATGATTTGAATGAAACTCTTAAGAAGTAATCAGAGAATGTACATCTAAAACCCGTTAACATTTGGAATCATTTTAATAAAAAATGGCCATCACAGCTAAATGACCTCAGCTGACATAAAAATGCATATAAGTCAGACAATTTTTCTGGTATTGTTTTAAAATTTAACGTGACAATAGCTGAGAGTCATTTATAACATGCACAGCTTTGCTTAAAACTAAGGCACTGACTATCACAGTCAAGTCTGTCTGTCTGTTAGCAAACTATCTCATTGAATGGATTTTAGTTAAACTTATAGAAAAAGGTCAGAGGATGTTCAACTGCAACTCATTACTTGTTGGAACCACATACAAGTGGCTATTAAGCCAGCTAATTTTACTTATTTTGAGCTATAATTTGTCTGTTACTAGGTGAAAGTCATCCTTAGCATTGTTACTGAGAGTTAACTGATTTTGTGAAAGCTCACAATAACAAGATGGTGCGCAACACGGTTTATAAGATTCAACAAAAGTTTCTCAGCAAGATGAATGTTTGAAATGTTAGGCTTTCATGATAGTTTGTTTGTTTATTATTACTGTCCTAGCTTTCAGATAATATTCCAGTGTTTTAAGTCAGACACTTTTTCTTTTGTACACTTCATTTATCCACTTTCAAACATATAGAATATTTTGAAATGACATCATGTATAAGAACTGAACAAAAATAAATAAATACATAAATACACAAAAGAATGAATGAATGAATGAATGAATGAAAGAATGAATGAATGAATGAATGAATGAATGAATGAATGAATGAATGAATGAATGAATGAATGAATGAA